AGTTGCAACTGACAGTGGCTTTTCCCAACCAGATGACATTTGGGCTGCAAGAATCCTTGGCCCGTTCTGTCCTCCGTGCAGCCAAGCGCCCTTGCTGTCTTTCCCCGCCTGCAGTCTGGGTCGGGCTTCCCCCTCCCGGGGCGGCGACCATCACGGATGGGCGCTGAGCCAGAAGCCACTCACTGTAAGAGGGTGGCAGGATTTCTGCAAGGGGAGCCGGGAATCGCCTTCCCTTCGCTTCCACTAAACAAGTGGCATGGTGCCACATTAAACTTTCCAGCTTTAATCATTTAGAAATATACAGGCATGTTTTATTTATAGAGCACCTACTGTTTCTCCACATATTTTAACATTTCTGGAGCAAATAATGAAGCAAAAGACAAGTGAAAGCCTCCAAATTATTCCAGGAGCAGTACGGAGCCATGCTGCCGTGGAGTCAGACAACCTGATTTAAATTCCAGCTCCTAAGGGCTTGTGACCCTGGCCAAACTGCTTTACCTCTGTGTGAGGGTTCCCTCACCTCCATGGTGGCGGGTAATACTAGCTACTGCTTAGGCTGGTTTAGAATTAACATAGAAAGTCCTAAAAAAAAAAAAAATGGGGCTCATGATCTCAAGATCTTTATATGATATGAATTTTAATATGTATCAAACTTTTTGAAACTGTTATTGGGTAAAAAAAAAAAGGAAAATATTAAAATTGGCTTGCATTTCTACCTCCCTTTCTCTATGATTACTTACAAAGTGGAGTGAAAGGATGTGCTCAAAGGCAGGAAATATAAAAAAGAAGTAGTAGAATCAGGAGAAGTATGACTAATCCACACACTGGGTGATGAACCAAAAGACGCACAGATGACTGTTTTCTCTGAGCTAATGTATTATTTCAGTACTGCTGATCTAATCTACATGCTTAGTTCAGATTCAACAAAAAGGTGATTCAGCTCCTCCTGTTTACCAGGCACTGTGCTAGGAGCCCCGAGGCTACAAAGGTGAGTAAAGCCCTCTCCTTCCCCTGGTATCTATTCACTGGAGACTGGGGACCTCCTCCACACCCTCTCTGCAGTTGAACCCCCCAGGTCATCCTGCCTGGACAACCTGTCTTTTTATAGCGATATTCAGGAAGCCCTCAATACTAGTAACCTTAACCATTTTTCGTGACCAGCTGGTGAAAGAGAGACGTGGATCAAATTTAGTCTTGAGAAAGACATAGCTAATCCAGACCTTGCATTAAAGTCAAAAGACAGAGGGTGGGTGACTGCATGTTGTATGGGCACCACAGCTGCCCCTTAGTTTATACCATTATTTCTGAGTCATAATTCAGCAAACAATGAAATAATCTCTGGCATAATGAAGACGTCTCAGTTGGATTTTACTTTATGACTTTAATGAGGCCTCATAGAATTCCCAGGAGGACAGTGTCTATTATAGTATTTATAGTATTGTCTCCATTCTTCTCTTCTCAATCCATTCTACGCATGGAAGGCCTGGAGGGTTCTGGCTTCTTCTTCCCTCCTCCCAGCCCCCTAACCTCACCACCTTCTCGACACACACACACACACACACACACACACACACACACACACACCAGCCTCTTGCCAGTAAGGTCTTAACTAGCTTCTTTTCATCTTTGAGGTCTCATCTCTTCAAAGAGGCTTTCTCTTGACTCCTCCTTCTAAAGCAGCCCCTCCCAGTTACTCTCTGTAATGTCATCCAGCCATTTCATCCTGGGTGAAGGCAAATATTCTGTTACTTCAATAGGATTGGCTTAATTGGATTATCATGGCGTGTTTTTGTTGTTGTTGTTGACATAAATATATCCCAAGTGGGAACACTTCATATTACCCCCCTTACTACCACCATAGTTCAAGCCACATCTCCTGGACACCCAAGATGGCGGCATAGGTAAACACCGGAGTTTGCTGCCTCGAACAACCACTTCAAAAATACAACTAAAAGACGGAA